AGCCCTCTGGAAACTTGAAGCCTATCACTTTTTTTTGATACAAAAACTTATTCCATTGTTATTCAATATAAAATGCAGGTTCTTGAATAAAAAATGTGACATAAAATACTTTATTGAAGAAGATATTCTCTCCACTATAAAGTTATAACTATTTTAATGGAACAATTTTCTAGGATATAAAATTTGGCTTGGATTTTATCAAATATATCTCAACAAATCCAAAGCAAATATACATTTTACACCTATGATTTCGTGCACAGAATTGAATGCACGTATGAACAGGAGACACAGAAGTTAATATTCATTCTGCACATAATCCTCATCAACCATTCACTCAGCAACCATTTGTACTTACAATGGTGCTGAACAAGTGGTACTTACAACTAAGCACAATACTTACAACAATCACAGTGTCACATGATTGTAATCAGGGCACTTAGTGATTGAATTCCAAATAAAATGTTGCAGAATTCTGGGGTGACACGTTCGCCACCTTCACTCCTGGCTTCCAACAAGCAAAGTTAATGAGAAAAGTAACAGGATATCATGAATGGTTAACATCATGCTTAACAATGGTACAAGCTTCACAGCTTGCTTCCGACAAGCAGTCAAGAGGGAACCTGGTAGGAAGCTGCAAATCATGTGACATCACTTAATAAGGATAGAGGATCCGATTAACAATGGCAACCAGTTGTGATAAAAAAGCAAATAAAACAGAAATCACAGGTATGAGCAGAAGAATGCCACACCACTTTCCATTAGAATGACATGATGTAACCCATCCTAAGAGGACAAAAATAAAAATAAGTATTACCTTGCAAAGCTCTTGCTTTTCACCTTGTACAGTAGACAATTTTTCATTTGAGAGCTGAAGTACCACTTTCCCTTCTGTCTGACTTTGCTCTTCATCAGGCTGCGCTGAAATAACCAAGTCATCGGGCTGTTCAGAATTAACAGGGGTTGCACTTCGCCCACTCTCTTCCATTTCCATTTCTTCCATAGGAACAACAAGATTTTCAGTTAGGATTTCATCAGACATACTTTTCATAGGTTCAGGCTCATCACTCTTTGGAGTCGGAGAGTTGACAGCGATGGAAGTTGAAACACCCCGACCTGATAATTCATCATCCGAGTTTATTTCACTTATGCTTCGACTGTCTAAAGACTGTACACTAAAGGAGTCTATTCTTTCAAAAGCATCAGAGGAACAGCAACTCTCTGTCAATTTATTAAAGTCTTCTAGGCGATTGTATTCTGTGCAAGCAGATGCCGTCAAAAGCTGAAAGGAGGTTTGCATCAGATGGAGACTGGCTTTTGAATCAGCTCCTTCTTGCCTTGAACTAGCCGAGCTCTCACTTATAACACTTTCATGGTCCAAAACCTCAATATCACTAGTTGTAGATGTCCCTGAGGAGAAAGTGCTAATTGGAGGTGAAGGGGTATTGCTTTGCCTGTCTTCGCTTTTTCGCTCTTTAGTGTCCAAACTTGAATTTTTTGTGTCTGCTGGCAGAGCTTGTGGAGAGAGATCAGTCTCATGCCCAGAACTATCACTCCTTGAATCTGACTTCACAACACAAATGGATTCTGCTACTGTGACATTCTTAGAAGATGCTTCTTGACCAGTGCTTGTACTATTGTTTCCATCATGGCTGATGGTGAGATTGAATTGTTCTGAATTGTTTTCCTGTAAGTTTTCCTGATCATCGTTAAAGCTCTTCAATTCTACAGAAAAGTCTTTTGTTTCTGTTCCTGGAAGGTCAATATGCAGGGGTTCCTGCAGTGTGCTTTTAATTTCTTCTTTGGGATGCTGCGATTTGGCAGGTGGCTTAGATACCACTGGGCTTTGCTGTATGCTCTGGACACCGGTTGGTGGGAGAAAGGCACTAAAGAAAGATTCTGATTCATCTACCACAGTTCTCTGAACTGGTTTGGTAATGGCTGCAGGAGATGATATTGGCTGACTTTGGGTTTCTACATTTGTATTGGTCCCCCAAGTAGAAGTATCCCATCTTCCACTTGTTAGAGAACCTTTTCCTATTACAAATGAAAAAAAGAAAAGAAATCAAAGGTAAGCAGTTAATATTAATAATTACATAATAAAACAGATCAGTTATATTTCATATATAGTATATACTATTACAGAAATGATCACATGCCCACAAGGTTTCTACCTTTCTGTACTTCTAAAGGGCACTAGTCATGATTCCTCAAAAATATTTTTATTTATCATAGAGCAATACAAAGGTGGGGGGAAATCTGGTTGCAGGTATTAGCTACAGTAGGTCTAGGAATAATAATAAATTATGTTTTCTTTTCTAAAGTTCTTTTCATTTAAAAATTAGAATCTTCTACTTCTATTTTTAACTTACTGCATTTCAAGAATTATGTTAGAATCTAAATAATGTAGAATTAAATACAGTTCACTGAAATTAAAAGTTCTAGATGAAAAATAATCTTTTAAATCAAAACAAATTAAAATCAGCCGAAGTTTGTATCTTAGACACAGCAGTAAACATGATCGAATAAAAACTGAAGTTTAAAATGGCAATCTCCTTCTTTTAATCATAGTAGAAACTGGATTCAAAGTTTGTTTCCTTAATAGTAAACCTTAATTCTTAGGTCCATATAATATAAAATGGAGTTAACATATATTCATTGCTATTCTCCGACTTTTTGAACTCCCGGACAAATCAGACAGTGTTCATGCTGGCTCTCATATTTCTGCTTAATCATTTATATAAGCATTGTTTTAGTGTACAAGTTTTCAATACCAAGAGTTATACTATTTATATTTTATGTATATTATTCCAATATGACTCTGCATTTTCTGTAGTGCTTTTAATATTTATTTATATCTTTAATTAATTAACATAAAAACAAATTAAACACTTCTGAACATTATTATTTTTTGGAATGTGGTAATATAAATGCTGTACAAAAATGTTATCTCAGTAAGTCTATTGTCCACTGAACCATTGCTACAGAAACAGTTATCCTCACTATCATAATGCTATTCTATCAATGCTAAGGAAGTTTTTGCACTGATCATATAAGGACTTCAAAAAAACTATGTCTCAGGAAGCATAGCCAGAGAATAGAAGTCTCACATATATATTCGGCAGTTATTGATAATTTTAAGAATTACAAGAACTATGTATCTAAAAGACTGATACAGTCTATTTATAAAGAAAATTGCAGAAAATTTATATTGGACAAAGTTATATTTTGAGAGGCTCAAAATGTTCATTTAACCAAAGAATCAGATGCAACATATTTATGCAAGAAACAAAATTCATGTTAGATAAGGAATTTTTAATGATGCATCAGTTGAAGAAATACATTATTTGGGATATTGTTTAATAAATTCTTACAATTTCTTACACTGTTTATAAATTATATTTGTATACTTTGCATACTTTTCAAACTCTTCACAATTACAGTCAAGTAGTAAAAGATCATTGGGCAACTACATTATAGTTTACCTTCTTCCTAAATATATTACTTATTTTAAATTAAGTTTTAGGTAGAATATATATCTGATAATTCAAAGCTCCAAAATCATTATATCATACAAAATCTGGATCAAAGGCTTTTCCTCAGGAGGATGTTATATTCCTTACATCGTATAGAAATGGGAATGGGAATATTATAAGCCTACACAATTATTTGTTATGCAATTTAATAAAGCAGAATATATCAATTTGGGAGAAATCAAAGTATTTATGTGTAAAATTACTATGACAGCATAATTCAAATAAACTAATGTTCTTAGAAACGTTATCAAAAATAATTCATGTTTTGGTTTTCTTTTGTGAAAAACTGGTCTTTCACCTATTTAATGCATCTACTCATATAGTCAATTACATTATAGTTGAACAAATAAAGGAGGAAAAATTATTATAACAAACTATTTTTCTGGGTAGTTCATTGTGCTATAAATAGAATAGTTGCCACATTGGTTTACTTTTTCCTCCCATTTCAATACAACAATATTCTGCAACTTATTAACTTTGCCATGGCAAACTACAGTTGAGAAAAACAAATTCTAAGTTCCTCTGGGATAGTGTAATTATACTATTACAGATAGTATAGTTACAAGACCATAGTGTAATTTTTATACAGAAGCTGCTCAGAACATCCATGTGATCTTCTATAGACCAGGAAAGCCATAAATAGAAGTGAATAACAATGCTCATATTATGTAACTAAAGGAAACAGAGAAAATATGGAATCACCAATAGACAAGAACAGGAAATANCTTTCAATTTCCTTTATTGAATCACCTGCCACTGAAATCCATTGGACAAGGTATGTATAGACATGTGGTGTATGTCTAGTTCTTCTCCAGATATAAAAAAAAATTCATTCTTTGGTCAATTTATTAAATGTATAATAAATGGCTCTTTTTCAGATTTATTTTTAAAACAAATGGTTCTCCTGTTTGTGCAGTTCTTGTATGTGCCTTTATACCTCTTCTGGGTCTTATGAGAAGAGAACAATATCCGCAAATCTTAAGTGATTTAAATAGGCGTCATATTCCATCTTTTGTCCAGTTTAGCTGTTGTATGTAGAACAAAATAACAAGTACATTATTCTAGTACTATGAAAGAATCTATTATTTTCTCCCTTTCTGTCCTCTATTTCTACTTCTGCTCACTGAAAGAAAATCAGCAACATCAATGAAGCTTTATAACATTACGGAAGAAGTAAAGACACAACTTCAATTCAAAAGAAACTGCTATGGTACCTGCTGAAGGTCACTAATTTCCTGGCGTAAATAATCCTCCTTTCTAGCTGCTTGTTGTTCTGCACGTTGCAATGCAATTCTCAAGTCTGTTACCTATACAACAGATATAAAGATACAATAGACCACACATTAACTGCAAATCTAGCACATTTTAGTCTATTCGTATCATACAATATATTCAGGTTGCTAGATTTAGGAAATTCATGTTTGGAACAATTCTGTTTAACAAATCAACTTTTTAAGCCATAAAATGGATCTCCAGCAAACAATTTGAGGTACAAGAACAATGCTTTAATTAAATGGCACAACAGACAAATGTTGCTACAGAATTGATGCAATAGTGAGATGGGCAGCATGGAAATTTAATAAACAAACAAACAAATCCTTCAACATTCAAAGGTAGTAATCCATTAGAAATATATAAACTTTCCCGTATATTTTATTTAAAATGTTTCATCAGCTTAGTGGTTTCTGACATAACAGTCTTAATAATTCATCTATTCATAATTATAAATACGTTTAGAAAAACTTAAAAACAAGACCATTAAAGTTAACACCAATTCAAGAACAACAAATATCAGAATAGTAAAAGCAATAATACTGTAGTATGATTGCAAAAGCCAGATTCAGAGAAAGAGCAAGTAAAATATTTGAAGTATTAATTTGGAAATAGCAATCAAAATACAATGGATGGTAAGACGGATCATCCAATCACTTCTGGATTAAAACAAAGATTACTGCTTCCTTGAGGAAGTGATCAGAAAGCAGAAATTTACAAACTTTGGACATATAATGAGTAGAAACAATATTATGCCTGGCAAAGTTGAGAGAAGTAATACTAAAGAAAACAATGGATAAAGAAATGTATTAAATTTAATACTGTTTTGGGAACACAGGCTATTGATGGTGAGCATTTGTATGTGTATACCCAAGACTTAAAAATGGCCTGATGACATCTAACTAGCTATCTGACACACAATATTTCAAGATGCATTCTTCGATGTTAAAGCTAAGCACTGCAAAATGCAGTATTATAATACTACATGGAAGACTTATTCAATGTTTAATTGAACACTTACCTGAATTGCTAAAGCTTCTTGTTGTTGATAAGCCTCCTCCTGGGCCTTTTCCAGAATTAAACCTAGTTCCTCCTTAACTTTAATTTCATGACTTAATGCTGCTTCTTGTGCTTCACAGTCTTTTGCAGCATTAGTTTTATGAAGATCTGCAAGTTCTCTGGGGAAAAAAAAGTTCCCATGGATAGTTATCTGAATATGTGTATCTTGGTATCCTCCAAATGTGGTCAGGGATTAGAAGTAATATCTGAGACAGGTTCATTTTAGTTTAGACAGATTTATAAAGTTACCCAACTCAGTGGCTTCGTGGCTTTGGGCACCGTAATATACAAAAACTTAACAATAAAGCAGAAAAAGAAATCCAAAAAAACCAAACAGATTATATAAACACAAAATATAAAACAGCAACCAAGACTAATAATCAAACAATCAAAATGGGTTTGGGGGATACAGGAAGAAGAAATGAGGAAAATTGTGCCAATCATGTAAAAGCTCATAACAATTGATAAAATCCGGTACTTCATTAATGTATTAGTTATTATTTCAATTTATATGGCTATCCCCATGCCATTATAATTAATAGAGTAGTAAAACATCGAAATACCACAAAATTTGAGTATATTGGCTGCAGACAGTTAAAAACTACAGCCAAAAATGGGCACATATATCATCCTGACCCAGTGACAGGGGAGAGATAGGGGGAGGAGACAGCTTTTTGAGGTCCTATTTGGAGGCTGGCAGGTCAGAATCAATACATCATGTTGGATCTCCTGATCCACTCTCTCTAGATAGAATTTTTTTTTTGAAAACTATAATTAAAAAAAAAATACATCATGTTGGATATATCCTCTATGACAGCAGCTTTCTCTGATTCCTACCATATTGATTTTTTTATTTTAAAATGAAATAGCACACATATTGCACAACACATTTAAGTGCTATAAAGAGAAAGCATTACTGGTCCTGATTCATTATTCTGATAACAGACTTACTTGTATGCATTATCAAGAGCTGCTTGTGCACTTCTGTTTTTTTCTTCAAGATCTTCAAGATCTACTTGAAGTCGCCTAAGATCCTTCACTTGGCATTCAACAACACTATTTAGCTGCTTGATGTTCTCTCTATGTTGTTTTTCAATTTCTTCTTTGCCATCCAAGACCTGCAATAAAGAAAAGCTAAAACCATCTAATTTATAGTTTTTAATCTATGAAACATTTTAAATTATGCATGACATGACTTTCAGAATATCTTTTTTGTCAGAATGCAAAAAACATAGTTAGAAAAGTAAGCAGTGAAAACAAAACAGTCAGGTATTTAATTGTTGTATAAAATATTGTAAGTATGACAAAAGCAGAAGATAGTTTTGCTACAAGTGGTGGGCTTCCATGCCTTCATGTTTAATTTTTTTAAAGCTGATTAAAAAGTGCATATATTTTCAAAAAGTGAATGTATTTATTTTATATGTCAGAAAAAAGGAAAACCAAATCAGACTGTATTAAGCATGTATTGATTTATTAATTTATTTAGTCCCATTTTAGTTTAGACATTTTCATGGAAAAGAAAAATGTTTTGTTTTGATTTTAGAAAATAAACTTTCATTGTGACTTCCTGAGTACCATGCATTCAGACAGAGCAGAAGCACTCAAATTATTTCAAATGTTCTGTAAAAGGGAACAATAGAAGCCTGAAATAAACCACTATTGGAATTTTTTTTGTTCTAGAGTCATAGTAAGAGACACCATAGCTCATGCTGAATGTGTCTGCACCCAACCTATACAGAAATATTGCTTTCAAAATTATTTAAAATAAAACATTGAAAAGGTAAAAAATAAATCTGCCACTGAAAAATATGGAAGACAGAAAAAATTACTTTTTGCAGGCAACTGTCACACAAAACCCAACAAGAAGCAAACAATGTTAGCTGGATTTATGTCAACAGCCCAAGAACAACAGCAATAAAATATATAGTTCTCTTTCCCTGTACATTTAAGAGAAGTGTCTATATAATGCATATAAGTGCACACATTTAGTATTATGAACCTGGCGTTTTTTGCAACAGCTATAAAAATACAACAGTTTGGCAATGTCCCCAAAGTAAATCTCTGAATAGCAGTATCATTTTTGTATTTCCAATGCTATTCCACCAAAGCTCAGTAAATATAATAATACCTGCAATCTCAGTCAACAGTATTAACAGGTCTTGCTAAAGAGCATACTGTACGCTTCTGCATTTCTCTCTCCAAAAAACAGAAATTACCCCAATAGAGAACAAGTGGGACAAAATATTACATTTTCCTCATAGCCTGAACAAGTTGTTTTATAATTCTGTTTCTCGATTCCCTATTTCCTGTCTTATCCTATCATATGTAGTCAATAATATCAGGGTAGGCAGATGACTGATGTTTCTTGGACAGCTGAAAATTAAAATAATGTGCTAATCATAATTTGGGAAGTCACAAGTTGGTGATATAAGTCAAAAGAATAAATGTTTCCCATTGCAAAATCTAGAGATCTGGAACAATGTGGATTTGTGTATATCCCCATTCTCTGCTCAATCTGAAGGCCTTTTCAAATGTATGAAAGTGTATGTGAAGGCATTACTTCAATGTCTAATTCAAAATACCTCATATAGTTAGCTCTTCTCATGACTAGAATCCATATGCCTCAAAATCTACTTTCTCCTGATGAACAAACTGGGTAATTTCAAACTAGGAGGATTGGGAGCAATTTTATGAGTAGGGTAGAATAGAATAGAATAGAATAGAATAGNCATTGTCATAACTGTGAACCATCACTGTTCAAGCCAGTTGCTAAACTACATGCCAATAACAGTTAACCCTCAATGGGTCAATTTTAACTACTTCAAAGATTTCTGGAAGAGTACCGTTTTCACAAATATCTAGAAAGTGAGTAATGACAGGGAAAGCCAAACCTACTGGGTTAAATTTTTCTATAAAGCAACCCTTCCTAGCTTCCCCTCTCCCATTCTTTTAGTAGTGATGGATTAGCAGAATTTTTTCCCATACAGTTCATGATTTTATTTGAAAAAGTAGTTGTTGGCATTGTTATATATTAAACTAAACATAGCCAGAACCTTTAACCCTATGCTCCCCAAATCTAGTTTGTCTATAGAATTGCTGAAATATAACATTCTAAAGACAACCTTCTACTTAACTGTTTTCAGCCAACTGTAACCAAATTTATTTATTTTGAAATAAATTAATTTCACTATAGCTTATTGGCAATAAGCCCCTTTCAACTCAGGATGAACTTCCTTTTTTGGATACATTTACGTTATTCTATTAAGTGTGTGCCATAAAATTATTTTTTCTGATCTATTTAGGCTAGTCTTGTATAGAAAGAAAACCATCAGGTACTACCCTGTTTTTATCTGGAATCACCAGCATTATTGTTAAACACAAACTAATAGTTGATTTCTGATAGTACTATACCTGCAATGACAGCATTTGTTGATGCTACTGCTGGAATGATCCGCTTTACAACTCCTACATTTGGAGAAGCATCGTACAGCATGTTATTTGTTTTATAGAAAACAGCAATAAAACATGTTTCATACCTGCATGACTTGCATGACTTGGCAACTAACAAAAATTCCAAGCAGAGTATCTTTAGCATTAACAGCAGTAGTTTAACTTGGAATGGGAAACCATTTTGCCTTGGTACGAGACATTCTGACTCTGCCCTACCTGGGATCATAAGGCGCATAGGTGGGGATGTTCACCAAGGGCAGCGAACTAACTTACTAAGTAAATAACTAANATTGTTGTTGTTGTCATTATTATTATTCAAATACCTTTTTCAAGAAGCAGGCCTGGGCGAGAGGGATGACCTCATCATGTTGACACCACTGAAGAAACAAACCAAATACAGGGTTGCCACCAAAGGAGAAGCGTGCAAAGAGGTATATGGGAGGCGCATGAAGCGAAGATTTTGCCGATGTTTACGTGGTGTGCGCTCCCTCGAGGTAGGGACGGGAGGGGTAAAACCTATCCTTCTCCTCCTCCCCCCTCCCCCGCGGTCACCTTACCTGCCTCTCCTACACGGGACGGGGCAGCTCCACCAGGACCTCCCTCGCCCTCTTCTTCCTCCTCGCCTTGGATATCCAGCACTCGGTCGATGGACTTCTGCGCCTGCGACAGAGCCTGCTTGGCGAAGGTCGAGAGCTGCGAAGCGTTGAACCAACTCATTTTTTCCTCTGCTGGAAGCCCCACCGGGCCCTTCCACCTCGACCTCCCACGCTTCTCTCTTTCTCTCAGCGGTATCCAGAGCTGTGATGCTCGACCCACCGCCCGTCGTCGGCCATGACAGAACTACCAACCCGGATATGGCACGCGCCAGGCGGACCGTCGCGTTTACTTGCGCAGGCGCGGCCGTCCAGTTTCCACGTAGCAAAACAAGCCAGCGGCCTCGCGTAGCATACGCCCACGTGACGCCAATTCTCGTTGCCATGGTCACGCAAAGCCCGGTCACCCCGGCGTAGGGATTTCATCGTGGGAAGTTTTCCCTGCCCCCCCACCTCGCTTTCGTGACGTCACCAGGGAGAATTTTTCATTGCCGCACAGAGTATAGTTTTCGACTTTTGCTGATTATACCGGGTTCTCCCATCTCTTATTTAAATCGATATAATTTACTTTTAAATAAGCGGTATTTTTTTAACTGCCAAGAGTCCAACGAGGTTCAGAGGAGCCGTTTGGAACACGCAAAGGCTCTTTTTGCAAAGAACTTCAATTGACCTCTTTGGTAGAAGACAGGAAGAAAAGAAAACTACAATATCCCACATTGTCAGCAGAATTTAATGGATATCAGATCCAGCTCAATGTAAATATCCACTACTAGTTGCTTCTTGACTGGTATCTGTTTAGAGATGGCTTTTGTTTTAAAACAATTAAAATGTACATTCATTCTGCAGTTCTCAACCTCATAATACCCACATAAATTAACAAAAAAGGTTAATTTTAGATAGTGTTTATTAATAAATAGTCTAATAGTGAAACACCAATCCTGAATATCAGTGGGCAACACCATGCATAATAGTCATTAATATTTCCCAATATACAAATTTAATTATCCATTGATGGTACTTGTGTACAATCTTTCACTCAGTTTGGGGGGGGGATCTAGATTTGGCAGTACACATAGCTGACAATGCAATAAAGGCATTAACTAAAGTGAGAAATAGGCTGTTTTATTAAACTGGTTGTCTGAACTAAATTATGTATACATATTAAAATGCAACTTAAAATCTGTGTCCACTGTACTCTGTGTATCCAGAGGTCATAGGTGCTTTAAGAATGAATCCATTGGCCTTCAGGAGTTTCATGTAGCAGAGTGTTGGCATTATGAGATTACAAATTGAATAAAATTACTATACAACAGCTTTCTGTACATTATGAGCTTTTACACAAATAACATCAACCAAATATTGGTTTGCAAGAACAGTTCTAAAATAAGAGCAATTTATTTAAACTTTCATCAATGCTTATATAAATAGAGATTATGTCAGGATAACTCAAGTTTTTTCCCCTGTAAAGAAGTAGTTTGGAGATGTTCTTCGGTGTCTGTTTATATCACCTGCATTCATTTCAAGTAGTAAAATGAAGTCTGAAAAGTACAGTTTGCGGTGTTGTGACATCCGCAACTGCAAGCTCCTGACCATCAATGAGGCCCAGCTCTGCAATGTAAAAAGCATAATATTTAAAAGTCATTTCTATATAGAGATATATTTCCAGAATTGAAACAAAAGAAACCTGGTTTTTTTTATGGAACAAAAACACACTTGGAGATAACTGAAATAGAGGAGACATAAAGCTTCTCTGTAATATATGTATAATTAGGTTCATTCAAAATTATTATTGGTCTACATGTAACCCTCGAATTACAACCACAATTGAGCCCAAAATTTCCATTGTCAAGTAAGGTAATTATTAAGTGAGTTTTGCCACATTTTATGAGCCTTTTGCTACAGTTAAGTGAATCAGTGCAGTTGTTAAATGAATCATGCAGTCATTTAGCAGATTGGCTACCCCCATTGTCTTTGCATGTTGGAAGCCAGCTGGGAAGATTACAGATGGTGATAACATGAGCCTGGGACAGTGCAACTGTCATAAATAACATGCCGTTTTCCAAGCACTCAATTTCAATCACATGGCCATGGGGATGGTGCAACCATCATAAGTGTGAAAACTGGTCCTAAGTCACTTTTTTTCAGTGCTGTAGTAACATTGAAAGATCACTAAACAAAAGAAAATATACCATCAGAGCTAGATATAATCAGAAAAGTATTGGCCTGTGCGGAAGCAGATAGGCTCACTCTTGAACTTAAAAATAAAGGGGAATCAGAATATTTTGAAGTCTGGAACAGATTTTATGATTGGTATAAGACAAGGCGACAAGACTGGAACAAACTNGAAATATATCTATTCCTCTGAAAATGGAAAAGGTCTTGTTGGATAGTAATAAAAACAATCCACTGGCAACAATGTTACTAAAAATAATTAAATCAAGAAAGTAAGATGAAAGTTAGTCTTTTATTAATTTTGTCTATAAATTTCCTGGCCAAACTTAACTTCAATAAAATCACAAGTATTATTCAAGAGGAGAGTTGCACAAATTCAATTATCATTTTACACAACCACAGTATCAGAGAGTCTGGAAACTGTTATATTAAACTATTATGTTCTGTAGAAAAATCCCTGATTTGTCTGCCCACACTGCTTGAGATATAAACATTTGTATAAAGAAGGTGAAGCTGTACTGTAATAGCTATGAAATGAATAACATTGTATTTCAGTATATTTACTTCCTCGGAAGCAGTCTTCAGCCTTAGGAGATAGATTTACAAAAATAAAATAATCAGCCCAAGAAGAATGGGTGCAGTCTAAAAGTCTAAAAATTAATCCAACCTGTTTCAGATGTTGCAACTCGTCTTCTAATTCCTTAATTTTCTTATTCTGCTTTGTATTGGTATTTTCTCTTTCTTTCTCCTTGGCTCTTAATTTCTTAATAATGTTAGAATTTTGTAACTGCTGCTTTGAAAGTTTTTCTCCTGAAAAGAAATATTGGATCTAATTAATTAATGCTATTCATATCTAATAGAAGAGTATAACTATTTACATTCTGGGGCACCACTCAAATTATCCAAGCAGTTGAAACATTTATTACAAGTAATAATATTACAATTTGTTTTAACTAAGTTCCATTTTAAAATAATACTTCATACTCACCTTCTTCTAGTAATCCTTTAATTTGTTCATCTTTCTCCTTTAGTAATTCTGCTGTTTCATTGCTGTTCAATCTAGTTGCTAGATCTTCTTTGAGAACCTTTATTTCCTACAATAAATATAGTTCATTCATATTATTTGTANTTTCAGACTTTTTTCAACTTTGGAAAAGGGCATATTTTACTGTGAAAACATGGGTTCTAAAATGTCAGCCCTGTCCATTCTGTGGGTTACAATAGAGTACTCAAGCAACATGTGGGTATACCCAACCAATTCTAAGTCATCACTGAGTATAAAAAGTTAATCATCAGAACAAAAGTACAAAGTTGACCAAAGAGTTCTTGCGGAATCTTACCCTGTGTAAGCCTATAGGTTAGACCTTTAATATTAAATTGTGATGCCCTCTCTATAGATTTTTCAAAAATCCATTGTATGTGTTCTGGGTCATCTCCATCTAGGGAAACACCTTCTGCAACAGAAAAGATAAAGCACTTTATTTAAACATGCAAACTTCATTACTTGTATTTTATCTTATATCAAAACTATATACTTCGAACAATGTGCAATCTTTCAAAGTTATAACAAACCTGGCCCCAAATGCCCTTCCTGAAGTAACATGACATTTCAGGTGCTCAGCAACCAATCTGCATTTAGAAATGTTTGTATCGTGTCCTGCATTCATCTTTCGTATTTTTCAGAGTATAAGACACACTTTTTCCCCTCAAAAAAGAGAGTGAAAATCTGGGTGCATCTTATATACTGAATACAGCATTTTTCGCCTCCCAAAACCCCGCTCCCTTTGCACAAATGGCCATGCATAACCTTTAGGAGGCTTCCAGAGTGCTCCTGGGGAGGGTAAAAATGAGCAAAAAACAGGCTGTTTTTTGTTCGTTTACGGGGGGCCCAGCCCCCAGGAGCACTCTATAAGCCTCCTAAAAGCTATGCATGCTCTTTTTTTTTTTTACAAAAAACAGGCCCGTGTTTGTGAAAAATAGGCCGTTTTTGGGAGGTCTGCAGAGTGCAAAAACATTTTTTAAAAATTTGCCTCTTCAAAATCTTGGTGTGTCTTATACTCAAAAAAATACAGTAATTACAACATTTACATTTCTGCCAACCCCCTCCCTCGTCCTTTATTTCTGCTTTTCAGTAAAAAAAAAAATCTCTAAAGTGAACAATAGGTTTGCTTAATGATCTTGGCATTCACTTAACAACCATTACAAAAAATAAAAGGTCATAAAATCAGGTCAGTCATGTGGGTGACCTGTTTTACAACTATCAAGATTTACAACCTTAATGGGCAGGCTACATTGCAGCCTACCAATAATTAGCATACATTTTACAAGTATTGATTTTTTTCAAAAGAATCAGAAAAATCACAATAGAATAAAACAGGTTTCCCATGATCTTAACTGTATCATACAAGGAGAGAGACATTCTGTACATTATTCTTTCATTTCTTACACTAATTCAGCTTTAAAAAGAGTTTACTGATTTACCTCCAAAAGGTTGTTCTTTGGGCCATTGCAATATTCTAACATACTCAATACAGTGTTCTGGTAGACGAGGCATTGAAGCAATTGTACACATGGGAAAATTTACCTGGAGAAAAATAAATGAATAACGTGATTTTTTCAAGAGGCTTAAAAGGATGACTATTTTTAAAAGATAATTATTTTTCAGCTACCTGTGGTGGATAAAGTTCAAGTGTACATTCAATACAAGCTGTCATGCCTGGAATAATCACACGTGCGTTTCCTTTAAAACCTTCTGTTCCTCCATCAATCAAAGGTATAATAGAACTTGGATCTATCACCCCATCTTCATAGTTTAAAAGGGAAATCTAGGTAACAAAATAGAATGTGTTATATTAGGTTCTTTCCTTCCTTCTCTCAGCAAAAAATATATATAATTCAGCAAGATAAGCAGAAGTGGTAGTATCTGCAATAATTGTAGCATTAACAGCAATGGCCATTTCTGGTCCAGAGTGCGACAGAATTATAACAATCCATCTTTCAAAACTAAGGAAATTATTATGTCTCATTTCTGTAAGTACATTTACTGTATACTGTGCTCTTCAAGTAATTTCAACCCTATAGTGGCTCAAATTATTGGGGCAAATTAAGTATATATTGACTCAGTTTATATATGCAATATAATCCTTGACTGCAAGAGAATGCTCTTCTAATTTTAATATTGCAAATGGAAAGCATGGGTTGTCAGCAGCTGCAACCCTCTAAAAAGACCCAGCTCATTAGAACTTATCAACTGTCATAATAGATTGGTGCTGGTGGAAAATATAACTCAGGGAATTATGTGTTAAAGCCATTCTTCAAAATTTAATTTGATATGTTTTCTTAATTAGAAAAAAATGTTCTTGAAATTATACTGCAATCATATTAAATTATATACATTTTATAAAATACATAAAAGTTTATGAATGGGGAAAACATTCAGAATAATGGAAAACTAAGTAATTTATTAAAGTTCTATCAAAATCAATGTGAAATTCATTGTGGTAATTCTAAGACATAATTTTGTGAATCACCAATGTGGATTTTGAACATTAACCCAAGACTAAAAGCAGAGAAACTTATAAAAACAATGTGCATGACCATGTACCTAAAAGAATGTTGTCATATATTTTATATCAAAATTAAAAATGAAACTTTTTTGAATTACTGAATTGTAGTGTCAGTAATTTGTAAAAAAAAAGCCCACAAATTTTAATAAAAATACTTACCAACATGCCATTTATCCATCTTCTTGCAATAATTGAATCCAAACCACATACAATTATATGAAATTCTAAAAGAAAACAAATGTAATCACTCCTTTGTTCTAAATAATTAACTATAATAATTATAATGTGTTAGTTGAGGATTCTCCTCTTTCTTAAGGAAAGGATTATCATCTTACTTGGCAAAACAGGAATTGCTATTTTCATAATAGGGCATGACAACTTACGTCTATAGAAACTTTCATCCAGGTCCTGAATCTTTTTATAATGTCTAAAAGCACACAGTAAAGGAAATATTTTAAGCAATTATCGGGTCACTGTAGAATGGCTATTAATAATATCACAGTCTACAAAGAGAACGAATATTTAACACTAGCACTAATGGCTTTAAAAGACTGCACAGTTGATTAACAGTTATATGAAGCATTTGAAACATTGTTTAAAATTAAATTGATGATGTTCAGCAGCTTTTATGGAATAAATCAACCATTTTCAGCAACTGGAGAAAAACAGACAGCCGTGAATGTTTCGTCTATGGGTTTCTGAAAGTATGTAATCCAATACTGTGGCAAACAGTTTCTGGAATATTCTCTCGGTTTTGCCTTCAAGTCAGAACTGATTCCTGGCAACCACAATGGACAAGCCCATGCACGTTTTAGGGCCACATTTTTTGAAGGATTTTGCCATTGTTTCTTATTGAGAATTATTCTTCTTATTGAGAAAACAGTCTCTGGCCTAAAGGCTTCTATACATAAAGTAGAATTAGAACTTGGGTTTACTCCAGTCCTATTCCAGTGGCTTGTCCAATAGACCATTCAAGCTTGCATACAGCAGTAGTACAAATACTACTGTTCTGGAGAACATTGCAATGTTCTATTTTTCTTCTACACTACACCAATCTGGCCATTTCCAAAGAATTCTGGTACTCCTTGCTTAATGACTGTTTGAAGTTATGATGGACTTTTAAAAAACTACTTACAGCCTGTCATCAAAGTTACAACTAATACAAATGCACGCACACACACACACACACACACACACACACACACATGCCATGACATAATTGCATTTTGGGTTCTTAGCAACCGGTTTGCATTCATGACCCATTATAGTGTCCCATGGTCATATGATCACAATTTACAACATTTTTACCATTTTCCAACAGAAAATGGCCAAGACACCCATTGTATAGTCTAGATTTGCTGAACGACTGTGGTAACTCAACAACCATAAAAAGAAACAGTTGTAAAATTGAGTCAGGACATATGTGGACCCAATTATTGATTGCAACAACTTATGACCAAACTTCTGGGATGAATGGTGATTATAAGTCAAAAGCTACCTGTAGTTTTCTAAGAGAGTGACTTGACTATCACTACTAAAATAGGTATGTTTGGGTTTATACAGTGTGGTTTTTTTCTTATATTTTTCAATGCCTGAAAGGCTCTGAACTACTTAAAAAAATACTAATGAGAGTACACAAGCCTGGTCAGGCAAAAATTAACATTAGCTATTGTATATCAACAATGTATAATATTGCCTTAGAAAAATCAATCCATTTTCAGGCTGCATTATTCTAATAAATGTAATGTTTGAGAGTTAAAATACATAGAATAAGTGTTTAATTAAGAAGATTCCAAGGTGCAATTATCTACAGGTAGTCCTCGAATTACAACAGTTCATTTAGTGACTGTTCAAAGCTACAACATGATTGAAAAAAGTGACTTGTGGCCGTTTTTTCACACTTATGACAGTTGCAGTGTCCTCGGGTCATCAAATGATCATCTTCTGTGATCTTTTGACAAGCGAAGCCAATGGGGAAGACAGAGTCACTTAACAACCATATTGCTAATTTAACAATTTCAGTGATTCACTTAACAACCCTTGCAAGAAAATTCACTTAACAGAATGTCTCACTTAACAACAGAAATGTTGAACTCAATTGGGGGTTTTAAGTGGAGGATTACCTATATTATAGTATTACAAATAAGTGGAACGAGTATTCCTTGTAGGTTTAAAAAACAACCACTGCTTTTAATGCCACAGAATGAATCTAACAATAAAGAAAAGATGGGACTGCAGCCATCCATCTCTGAAAGTATTATGTGCTTTTTAATTTTTTTAAAAAGAAACCAAGCAACATACAGTATTTCTTCAAGGAAGGATACGGTACAACAGCACAATTGGGAATGCGACTATTGAGAAACTCAGCAGCGACTTCTGCCTTAGGACGCCCAACATCTTTAGGTCTGCAAAGTACAGTATATGTTAGAGCATTACATTTTCACACTCATACAATGTATTCTGTTTCGACAATGATGACGTCAGCTCTTCAAAGTAGGTAAAATCAAAAATGAGGCAGAAAGTTCACACTTTCTCAGCAATCAATTTTTAAATGAATTATTTCAATTTCCCCTTTGAATTACAATTATTGGGCCAAATCAGTTTTGGAGAATATGGTGCTGGTTTACAAACTCTGTTTATTTCCTTTCTTTACAATACTGGTATAATCAATACAGGTATTGTAACATTGTAATATAANAATGTATTAAGTAGGCTAATAGTTAATGGTTAAGACTAGCTGTATATAATGTGAATGTATGGTCACTTCGACTTCGCAATACTGCATTGTTTTAAATGTAAAAATAATAAAAATATATTTTAAAAAAAAGGTCACTAAACAAATGGTGGTAAGTCAAGGACTGCCTGTATAACATATATCAAAACATCATTATAAAATTATCAGTTTTATTTTAAAATTCTTTTCATTTTTGTTAGTTAGCACAAACTGTTGATTCTAAATAGACCAACTCTTGTTTCTGCTTTTTAAATAAGTGGTAGGTAGACTCGTCACTGAAAATAAGAAAGACTTAAGAGTTGCATAAGCAACTCAAAAGCCGTTAATTTTATATTTATTTTAATGTTCATGTCTTTACTCCATGACTTCACTTTTCTTTCCAATATGCAGTTATATAATGGGATTCTCACTAAGAGGTCTAGAAAAAAAGACTGAAAACTAAATCAAACCCCTTTGACAGGTTTTATCACTTTGTGTATATACACTCTAATAGTGTGATATATCTCCCTTATATTGCTGTTTCAACACCTACAAGCTTCGAAGAAAATTATTTTAATGTGTAAGAAGATGCCACTATATTTTATTATATGGCAATGCCATATGCCATATTTGCCTAAAGCAAATTTTAAAAGCATTTTAACACTTATTGCATACCAGATAAATACAAACAGGCATCATGAGTACACATACATATTTTTTTTAATTTAGCGGCATGCCCCAACATGCTTTAATTGTTAACTATTAAAGATTGATTACCTTTTAAAGTCTTTGAAAGGTTTGGCCTTGTTCGTTCTTCAATTGAAGCTACTGACTGCAAGAGGAGACAAAATATACAACATGGATTCTACTGTTTTACCTGGATCCGAACATGCATTTTGGATGTTTGAGAGTGCTAAATTGTATCACAAATATATATTAGTTACCTGTAAATAAAGTGTTTTATTTCTTCCATATATTGTAGCAGTTATTGCAGGAGATTTCATTTGTCTGTGCAAAGAAAAAAAATCAAAACAACTAGTTAAAATTTTAAAACAGGTATCCATGATCTACCGAACCTACATTTTTAGACTCTAATATTATTTACAAATCTATAAATAATTGTATCCAATACTTACAGTGAAGCACTATTTGTTAAATAATCCAAGACTTCCTGTAGTTTAGCCGATGGAGAAAATTCTAAATTTTGAGGAAGTTGACTACAAGCCAGACAATTCTCCTAGAAAGCAACAAATGAAACATCTAATATCATTAAAAAAAAGTAGTAATGAAATCAAAAAGGCTATAATTCTATGGTGAGGATCCTTTCCTGAGGTGAGTGAAATAAAGTCTCCAAAGGCAAGAAATGGATCAGGAGCACTTTTAAATCTGAATGATCCAGTACTAACTCTCCCCTCTGCAAATAACAGAAGTCTCTCATCAATTAGTGCCTTCTATTGAAGCAAAGCCTTGTATCTGTCAGAACTCCTTGATTTTGATATGGGATTGCTCTGTCAAATTGACCCAAATCCTGTCCAAAACATACAAGGAATTTTCTTCAAGTGAAAAAAAAATCAGTCTAGTTTTTTTCTGGACTCAATACACAGTGGTATCTTTGTTGTTATTCTTTCTTTCTAAACTCACATGTAAAGTCTAACATTGTATTCAGGTTCACACGACAGTTTACTAACTAATCCTAAATTCTCTGTCATCAGTGATGTTTAATATATGTGATTATGAAATTCTTAAACTAGCATTTCAGGAAGTGAGTGGAATTCAGGGATAGACAGCTGATTTTCATCAACATTCCAAATTTCAGCTCCCACAAGTAAATATCCGGAATTACAAAAGCTGTGTACTTGCAAACCTATTTTTAGTCATAGCTTAGCCTCCTTCTGTGCTATTGTGATTATACTTGCATAGAGCTGTATCAGGTTTTTTTTTAACAGAAAAGGAATCACAATCAATGCTATACACTTCAACATATAAAAGTACATAAGAACTGCTAATTTCTGTAATAGATATTGCCGAGTATTTTTGCTCTTTCCAAAGGTTTGTTATTGCTCCGTAGCCTATAACTGAAATATTGCTATTGAACAGATGTATGTTAACTTTAGCAACGCTAACTGTGAGTTAAAAAGAAAGGTGGCAGAGATCTTTTTCTTTATTCTAAATGCATGTACGTATTCAAATCTAAAGAGGACCGATCTGTTCTACAAGAAATCTGTGTATGCCTGGTCACGCACCCAAGCTATGGTTGGACAACAGACAATGAAGAACTACAATATTTGGTCAAGAATCCAGAAAAATTACAAGGATATCAATCAGAAGAGATTTGAAGCACATGTAGGCTGCAAAAGGAAGGAAATTATCCCCTTCTTTTTACTAATGGAAACCACTTTTAGTCACTTGTCAAAGGATGTTTTATTCCAATATAATTGCTTTGCTTAATAACGCAGGGAGCATAAAAGTTATATAACCAACTTCTTGTATAGATGTAAAATGAACATTTTACAAAGTATGCTGATTCTGTGATTATAATGGCTTACAGTACTTGCAGCTTTTGAATACAATTCAATTGAAATATCTATTAAAATATGCTAATTTTCTCCAGCGCTGGAATCAGTATGATATATGCATTACCAATGACAACTCTAGGTCAGGAACGCATCATATTTTCTTTAGTAACCTTAGCAGATGAATTCNCATATTGCCCCCAACAACAATCCGGGTCCTCATTTTACCCACCTCGGAAGGATGGAAGGCTGAGTCAACCCTGAGCCGGTGAGATTTGAACAGGCAAACTGCAGAACCGCAGTCAGCTGAAGTAGCCTGCAGTGCTGCATTTAACCACTGCACCACCTCGGCTCTTGTACAATACTGGTACAATCAAGAAAAGAAGGATTATGATTTGAATAAAACCAACAAAGTAAGGAATTGAGAATAGTTTAATTGCAACAAACTATATGGTAGAGAAATCTGTTTTTCCAAAGCCATAGTCAGGAATCTGAAAAGTCTAAGCAAAACAAAAACAAAAACTAAGGAGCTAGAGACATTTCCCCAAAATAAAAAAGGATTAGTCCTAGGGACATTATGGTTAAATGATCACAGGTTTAAATAATAAACTACTAATTATATAACTATTAATTTAAGTCTCTACAAGGAGACTGTCTGGAGGGTTGATGCTGCCCCTGAAAAGCAGCACCATCTTCTTCAGCAGCATTTATTTGCTAAAGGTGGAGGCACTAGGCATACTTTTTCCCTAGATGATCTAAAAAGCCCAATAGATTTAGGTTGGAGTGGTACTGATCTTTGTACAAAAAGTGTAATTCACTGAATTCTGCATTTCATACAGAAATTAACAGATTGTCTGAGTGCATAGTTCATGCTCAAAGAGAAGCATCAAGGTTAAAGCTTACCGAAACAAGAACTGCCTGTTTAAGTTGGATACATCAATAGTGTCCATATCGATTACATGAATCTGTCTAAAACCAGTTAGTGCCTGCAAAGACAAAGAAAAAAAGGTTATAAAAATAATATATATTTTATGAACGTGTTGCTTCTGAAAATTATCAATATTTGCCAGTATTGTAGTTAATAATAAAGGAACTTAGTCAAAGTGCCCAACTTTTATTTGAGGCCATACAGCTTACAAAGTCTGCCCAACTAAAATTTGATTAAAATCTATGGAACATATTTCTGCTTTGTGGGATGGGAACACAACTTCAAGGAGAGATTGTGCAGCAGAAAACCATGGTCCCATGCAATGTGGGCTTCAAAGGTGATAACCAGCACCTTGAAATTGTACCTGGAATTAATTGGGATGTTACAGCAGCTCAAGCAACAACAGTGTAATATACCGTATTTTTCAGAGTATAAGATGTACCAGAATATAAGACACACCAAGGTTTTGAAGAGGCATTTTTTAAAAAAAAAATTAGGTAGGTAGATAGAGGGATAGAGAGAGAGAGAGACAGAAAAATACATTAGGTAGGTAGGAGAGTGAGTAGTTAGGTAGGTAGATAAAGGGATATATAGAGACAAAATACAGAAGGTAGGTAGGGAGAGAGTGTGTGCGTAGGTATGTATGTATGTATGTATGTAGGTAGGTAGGTAGGTAGGTAGGTAAGTAGGTAGGTAGAAGGATACAGAGAGAGAAATAGAAAGAGAGAGAGAGAAATACAGTAGAGAGAGGGAAAAAGAGTAGGTAGATACGTAGATAGATAGAGGGGGGAGAGAGATACAGTAGATAATGTATTTTGTCTCTATATATCCCTTTATCTACCTACCTAATTTTTTTTTTAAAAAATCCTTCTTAAAAACCTTGGGGGGTATTATATTTTGGCACATTTATTCCCCAGAAA